ACACACACACACGTACGGTATTAAATAGTCGTTATTAAAGAATCGACCAAAATAAAACAAAATAAGGGAAAGTGCTCGGACAGATATTTCAAGATTACGTGAGAGTCACCTAGACCAGAGTATAACGTAGAAGGCTCATTTCCAGTTAAACACATGTATGTATGACGTCCATGATTGCGTGATGATTCGAAAAACGGGTCCATACTTATAATCGTCCGTGTGAATAAATGTTACTAATCTGTAATCGTGTAAACTACTACTACGTCGATGTAAAAGAAGAATAATAACAAACAAAAAAACAAAAAAAAAAAAAAAAAAAAAAGAAAAATGTGTGTGAACCGTCTTTCTTAGGGAGCTAAGTACATTCGTCAATCTCGCGGTCGCGATCATTCTTCTGAGCCATCGGTCGGAAATGAATCGGCGGGTGAATCGTTTCGAAAGCCACATAGTGTAGCATAGTAATTTCGAGTCGATCTATACACTATAGAAGAGAGGCAATGCGCGAACAATGGGACAATATTTATTTGCTCTATTGAACTGATATACGTGCGTGTATGTTTGCCAGCGACTGCGCTGACGAGTTTATGACACTTCGTTGAGGATACAAGACCATCTATTAAATTGCTGAAACGATTTTCGCGAAACCCGTGCCTGGCGAGCTGAAATTATCTGGAAATTTCATTTCCGAGCTGTCAAACCCGCACGTGTCCCGGTGATCTGCGCTTTATGAGATGCAAAATTCTTCGTCTTCGGCAATTTGACTCTCGCCGGCAGAACGCTATTAAACGAATTAGTCTATCAAGAAAGAAGACTCTATCGTCTCGACCGAATCTAAAACCGTTTGTGAATATTCGAGGAGGGACGCGCGCGTGTTGGCCGGCTGAAAGCAGCCAGGCACGAATCTGCTCCATGTGCACAACGAAGTATAAAAACAGGAACGAGGCTACAGAGAATTTCGCAGAAATTCGCACGCATCGTGCACGTGATAGAATTCAATTTGAAGACAACGTAGAATTAGAGGAACGCGAAGTGGGGAGAAAAGGGACCTGAATATGTAGTTTACGTTTGAAGATATGTCGCGTGATGCACGCCAGCTCTTTCGAGGGATTTTCTAACGACAAATTCGATTTGAATTCGCTCGATACGACGTTTCGCAATAAGTCTCGGCTTGATCCATGACTCTGCGAATTAATAGAATTTACCGAGAAACGAGAACGCTCAATCTCCGTCTTCGCCGCTTGCTCGAAAGAGTCAAATGTGTATAACTCTAACTCTATCTATCTTTGATGATTTCGTTCGCTTAAAACTCACCAAAACTCACTCACTGTCCCATCATGGAGAAGAATCACAGACGTGAGCGGGCTCGTTCGTCATTCAATCATGCCGAGCCACGATTCACGCGCTCATCGATAAAATCGTCGTTTACAATCATAACTAAAGAATCAACGAACCGTCAACTACACTGAAATGATTAGAATGTGGTTAAATTAATTAGCTGAATAGCACCGAAATCGATTGTTTCGCCAACAATTCATCGGCAGCACGCGAGCCGGCTATCTATTAATCGTACGAGTTTTCGTTATCGCTATTCACGGCCGTGCGAGGTGAGTGTGGACGAATGAATGTGTCGCGACGCTTGCTACAATTTTCGCGATAAACATCGCCGGGCAGAAATCGTGAAAACGTGAATCTATATTTGTCTCCTTTCTTCCCATTCTTTTCTGAAAAAAAAAAAGACAGGAGAAGAAAAGAGAACCATTTCGATTTTTGAACTCGCGAGATAAAAGTAGAATCGGGACGAACGGTCAGAACGACGCAGAATGCGACGGAGATTTTAATCGGAACCTGTAACTCGCTATCTCGATAGCCACGTGGAATCGACAGGCGCAAATAAACTCACCCCCCGTTTCGATATCCTTTCGGGAGGGGTGAAATATTCGCGGAAATATTTTTCGCAGACGCGAGAGAAACCAGATATACCGGACGTTGGCGTGTCGGAGTATTCTGAAATTTCAATTAAAATTTCGCTGCGCGACGACAAATATCAAATTAACCAACTAAATGAATTCGCGATTTGATTTAACGTTTCCACGAATCCCGATGCCCCGTAAAGTGGATGTAATATATGTAATATAGGTTTGTATACACGCGTATATATGTATATAATCGCGTACATATATGTGTGTGTGTGTATATATATATGTATATGTGTATCTGTACGCGCGAGCCGCGAAAGGGAAATCCCTTGTGTTACTCTCGACGTACGACGAGAATCTGTGGATCCTCTTTCGCGATTTCCTCTGATCCGTAACACGTAAGAATTAAAGATTGTGTTGATACATTTAATATTAAACGTGTCGTTGGATTTACATAGAATAGAGAGCTTATTTATTTTTATACTGGATGGTTTGATAGGATCCGACACATTTAATTGAACAATATCGCAAACGAAGCGAAGACATACGCTGTTTATTATTACCACGGAGTAATTCTTCGTTTTATCCGATAAATTTCACTATTACGCGCGACACGCGTCCGTTGATTTCGCCCGTTAATTGACAGACCTTCATACCCCCGATTAAATTAAGTATCATACGTGTACGTATAATAACGCATAAACGTATAATAAACATATCTCGTAATTATGTGGCAAACTTAATGTTTTTTCAGTGATCCAAGATTCTAGAAGTGAGCGCGTTTGTGCGTTTAGTCGTGTCGTAAGCTATTTAAGTAGTAGGTTAGAGATTATTTGCACGTGCTAACGTCGCGAATGTGGTCCAGGCTTTAACGTAGAGTTCACAACGTCGTTAACATCGCCCGAGTGTTTCCCTTTCTGGTGTCGGAAATAGCGATGGAAACCGTCCAAACGCAATCCGACCGATCGAACTCTTTATTTTCGTTGCAACCTCTGACTCTATGCCCGCCTGTATATCGTACATTCGCCCTGTCCTTTCAAAAAACCAATTTTCCGTGCTTCCGGCGTCGACGTATTATTACGTTTTTCGTCGAAGAGACGGTATAAAAGTTGCCAGCGCTATTTACGGGGCCGTGTGCCAGATACATCGATTACATTTTTCTACACCGTTCGCGCTACTCGCGTCGTTTCGATATACCTCATTAATCGTCTCTATATACAGAGAGAAGTCTAGTAAAAGGAGACTTGCTCGCATCGTGCGCGAAATTAACATCGAAAACATTACCTCTGATGACGGCGAAGCGCCAGCACATATTACACGCGTATTCTGTTCTGTTCGATCGATTCGTTTCGACGCGGTTGTTGAGAATAATTGGGCCGTCCGACTCGACACGAAAAATAATCGCGAAATAGTCTTAGAAGAAACGTGCAAGAGCAAAGGCATAGACGAAACGATGTATGCGAACGCCTATGAACAAGGTGCACGTTTTACGCCTGTACACCAATGTATTCCGCGATTACTTAGATAGCGCCGTGCCTCTATTGATTTCCCATAGTTTACAGAGGACAACAAGGAGAAACGCTTCATCTTTCCTCCCTCCCACTCCTCTTTCTGTTATCTATACGATCACTACGATCTATACGATTAAAATACTGAGTGTAACGAACGACTTCTTTCGGCTTAATATCGAATAACGAGAAACGAACGGATGGGAGAAATATCCCTATCGAATAAATAAATAGTCGCGAGAATCACCCGTT